AAATATATAAATCAGCAGAATGTAGAAAAAACTGTAAAATTGAAAATTCCAAGTGTAAAATTTCTGAGCTTCTGGCGTGGCTTCGTAGCTGAGCTGATAGAACGCTTGCCACGGTTTGACATGCTGTTTTTGCTGCTGGTTCGAATCCAGTCGAAGCCCTGACTTTTCTCAATTGGGTGTCATCATGATCATCAGATCTGTTAAATTAATCGTTATTAATAAAAATGCCAGACTTGGCAAACGAAACAAAACGTTAACGTTGATTGTTTTTCAGACCTGCAATTTGAAGCGGCATCAAGATCCATCTGCCGCTTGAGATCAGACATTGGGTTTACACAGTATTACATGATAATATAGTATGTAAAATCAGTATGATCAATGGCATGTTACAACCTATACGGTTGTGAGCCACTGACATATTAAGAAACGGACTGCGTCAACGACAGCAGTCTTACTTTAACTAGAGTAATCCAAAGAAATCTATGATATAGTCCAAAGTGACTAACGTGCAACTTAATTCGCCACTGACAGTTTCCGGTGTTATAACTGAGGGTACGGAAAGATTGCATGATTAAGATGAATCCCGGCGGAGAAGTACCGTTGTTCCTGTCTAATGTTCTATGAAAAAACCGCCCCGATATTCAAAATCCTGTCAAGAAATTGACATCTCAATTAACCCGTAAATGTAAAGATGAATAGGGAGTATTCGACAACGAGGAAGCACAGCGACGTATTGAAGCAGAGTTTGTTGATGCCTATCAAATTTTGTCCAAAAAACGGTTGCAAAACCATCAGACCGCAGGAGAACAAACAGTACAATGGGACCTTTGTTAGGAATAATGAAGCAACTTCTGGTGATGCAACAACAAGAATGACAAAATAACTATTACCGATGAGTAGTAGGGGATTTGGTTAATTATAATTGAACATCACCCACAATTGATCGCAGCTGTCGCATTCCCATAGACTTTCCAGTCGGCCCCTTTCGAAAAGAAGCACTAGACTCGAGTTTCGCTCTCATTAGAGCTCGTCAGTAGTGCATATCCTTGCCACTGCCGGGACTAGAACTCCGGCCACGCTTTCATGAGGCAACCGTGTTTACCACTGCGCCATTGACCTCACATTAGGCACGACCGAATTATCATATGTGAACGCTCAACCACTTTCGCTTGTGAGTAATGATCAGGTTGCCCGATCGTCTCGATAGGAGACACAGTTACTGTCCTGTTAACTCCCGGCAGTGGCAAGGATATGCACTACTGACGAGCTCTAATGAGAGCGAAACTCGAGTCTAGTGCTTCTTTTCGAAAGGGGCCGACTGGAAAGTCTATGGGAATGCGACAGCTGCGATCAATTGTGGGTGATGTTCAATCCGTACGAAAATACATATTTTCCACTTAGTTGTCTCAGTACAAAATAGTTGGCTATTACCGTAATCACAGGCCACAAAAATCAGAAGTCACAACTTCATTTGTACACATAACAAATAGTTTTTGACGTCTACATCGCTCTGTTAACATCCGAACTGTGACAACTGTATGCCACGATAGATATTACGTAACACTCATGAATTACGATGTTCCAATTAAACTTGTTTTTGACTTCCAACTGATAATTTTCATGTGTTTGTGACCATTAATAATGCACACACTAACACGAAGTTCTCATATCCCTTATTTGTTATGTTTTTGTTTTGTATTCAACTGTTTAGAATAAACACCAGTGGGAATAGAGTAACTTTTGCTTTAGAGTTAGTCTTCCAAGCTCGTTTCATGTTTTCGTGTTCAAAGTCGGCTCCAGTTGCATTCGAAATAGCTTTTGTCCGAGGCACAATTGGTTGCAAGTTCTTCAGACAGTTATAATCGGATCGAACGAAGAAACCTCAAAGGTTCTTTTTTGTACTGCCAAAAATACTTGATCATTTTGGGTTAGTGGAAAACTATTTGTTAACAGGTTTTCTTTACAGTATGAATGACTAATTCATACCAACTCAATGTTTGCCATAAAGTTTTATATTGCTGAGTTTTCTGTGATCATAATTAGTTATGTCTGCGACATGAATTCACATAGTGGACAAAAACCGACAAAAAGATTCTGAATACTCATCCTCATTTTATACTGATGTTTGTCATTAATCTCACGGTTGTTGTTTTAAGTTCAAAACGACTCTATGTTAAATCAACTTCTGTTTGAATTAAAAAGAAAAGATCAAGTTATCATCTTTTTAGCCCACTTCAAACTTAACACTATTCCATCGGTTCTGTTCATGTTTGGACTACAAAAACTCTACTAGTCTGAAACGAGGTTGAAATGATAACCGACCAACATTCTGTGAATGATGACGTTGCTTGCGCTAGATCGCTGGTTCTGTTGACTTCATTGAGGATGAGGCAATAATTTATAGCCTTTGTAACACTTAGTGAACTTCTCATTAGCTGACTGAGATCTATCTATCCGTAAGTCAGTTCTCACTTGAAGATACAAAAGAATTTTGGCTTTATATTGCAGTCACCATGTTCTGTCATAGTATACATTCACACCGATACTCTACAAAAGTTTATTACGTGGTAGAAGCGACCGACATAGAGACAACAATAATACACTCTGCACTAACGCTTTTTTCAGAGAGTGCTTATTATTTTTACCGTCTTACACGCATTTGTACTGGAATGACAAGTACATTCACATACGCTGAATTATCCACTTATGGACTACTTCAGAGAACATATAGAATATGAAAACATAGTTTTCATATTCGATACGACATGCAACAAGAGTCTAGATGTTAAACCTAACAACGCGTTAGTTAGGCAGTAATAAACATACATAAACAAAAACAAGCCAACAAGCTTCTGAGAGTCTGCAGCACATAGATAATGTTTACTGTCATTAGTGAACATTCAGCGCAGTCAGGTGCGTTGGTCTGGAGCGTTGTGAGGTTCTAAGGGGGAGGGCAATTTTATGTGATGACGTTGGGATAGTGTCATGACTAAAACAATACTGACTAGTTAAGTTTGTTGTTTGCAGCTATCAAATTCAGTTGTGGATAATCAGTCGGTTCAAAGAGTATTAAGGCTTCTATGTTGCCCAAGTCAAAGGCCTGAGTGAGCAAAATTGCTTTTACATCTAACTGTGTAGCAGCTGTAGGAAGACAACGCTACTGTCCATCATTTCCACCCGACGGGAGCTACATATCCGACGAATAACAACAAATTGTCAGTTCAATCTTTCAACCATCTTCCTAAGTCATACGTCATTTTATGTATTATTACAGGTAGTGTGCTGTTTGCAAACTGCTGAGATAAAATAATGTTGATGAGACCTGAACGTTATCGGTTTATGTTACCGATATTCCAATTGAACATAGTTGATATATATATGTATCAATTATGCTGAGGTGTCTGCACGTGTCATTTTGTTTCGAAAGGACCAAAGTGGTACATTAATTGATTAATCGTATATTGTCAGTCCGTGTCAGAATATGCCAAGAAAACATTTTACCCGCCCATTACGGTGAGTATTTAGGTGGACCAATTTAATGGACGTAATACGTGGAGTTACATTAACAGTAGAAAAAAGGTGTAGAGTTAATGAAAATTAAAAAACGGCTGTTCCGAATGCACATCTGATGACAAAATAAGTAAGGGAGTGAGGTCTAAAATAATTGTAGGAATCTCACATCAGACTACTAGCTTGATACACTCCGAGTGACATTTCCAGCTTTAAGCTAAACGATTAGAAAGAACAAAATACACTACTTCATTGAAAGCAAACGAATAATGTAACCAAAGTAATTTTAGAGCTGCTCATAATATTACGACTATTTTTCGTAACCTATTATCTTTTTTTAACAGAACTTTATTGTTATTTTCAGTGAAGTGTTTTGCTACCATTGTCTTCACTATGTGGATATTTTCAAACTGACGACGAGTAGGAACTGCAGAAAGCGCATATGAACCATTCAGAAAGAGACTCCGGAAGACACGATTTTTAAGCAAATTCTGAACGTTAATGGAAGCTATGTTTTCCTGCACCTTTTGAAAGTGAATCGCATCTTTCGCTCGGTATTCCCTGGAAAATCGACGATCCTATCGTCCGTTTCTTGAGAGTCTTGCAAGAAAGCTCCTCTGAACTTTTCGTCTCGAAAATCTTGCCCGTATTTCTTCACATAAGTTGCGACATGAACAGGATCCCTAGTGTGTCTCTCTCAACATTAACTCAAAACACAAAACTGAGCAACCTAATCCTTGTTACACACTCATAGGCTGCTTTATAGACATGAAGCGTCTTGCAAACGCAGTAATCTTAGCGGTTCCAAAGATTTGCCTTGACGTTTTCTTTTTTTCCAACGAAACATGCATTTAAACAAGTTGTTTTACTCAAGTACTTAGAATGACAAATCCGATACGATTTCTCAGTGTCATTCTGACCGATCACCCCATTGACATGACTGTCTGCTCAAGTAGCCGACTTCCATTGACAACGAAATCGCCCGAAGCATGTATCGCCTTCATATCCACAGGGTCGTGCGATCTAATCCCTTAGGTAAACCGTAGCTTGTGGAGAGTGGAAACGTGTACTCGTACATCACAAGGCGAGTTTGTCACACTAAATCGTTGCGATAAAACGTAGATGGTGTGCTGATTTATAAATCCATCCCATGCTTTCCATCTAATACTACCAATACTGTAGTTCCACAACAGCGAAACTCTTTCGAGAAGATCATTCGCATGTATTCTTTTAGTAGATCATAGTAAATAGGCACTTAGCCATAGAAAATCACAAACTGTTTTTCTTTGCACTGCTGAGGATGACTCTATTCCAGCGAATGTTAGAAGCAACGTAATGTGTTGTCCATTCCATCTGATGTTGCGCGTGTGATCCAGTCAGTATAATTCCCGATAAGTTAGATATGATTAATGCTTTCATAACTGCTACACAATTCCTGAAGATTGTTGAAGTTTTGACTCCCAGAAGCATCAGCCATTGTATTCGTAACTTATCGGATACGTCCACTCTCATAACACTTCGAAAGTCATTTGTCCTACTCGAGTTGAACGAGTCTGTAAGGCCCTAATATCTAGTATGAGTCTGGTCAGTCTCCTGACAACTACTTTGCCATTAGCTTTTACAGACTGAGTGAGCAGCATCACCCCTCT